ATGTGTGGCATTGATGGAGTGTGACTGTGTGTATGTATGTGGCTGACTGAGTATGATTGTATATGGGATGCGTGTGAGTGTGGAGTGAATGGCCCTGCCTGAAGTCACCTCCCTAAGCTTGTTGGAGGAGTAACACAATGACAGGGAGTAAGGCATTAGACCCTGTGTGCCACTGGCACACAGCTCTAATGTTAAAACATTCATTGACAGGTAGGGAAGGATTTGTATTTTAAAAGAACTTTAAATTAAAATCTATACATTTGCTAGCATTTCTGCTACCATAATGTGTATTATTATATATTCTCTAAAATGTGTATTATGAACACTCTAATATAAAACACATTTCTTAATATTATATATATGTGTATATATACATTGTATGCATATACATACATACACACATATATCAATATTACTACTAATCACATGAATTGAGTGAAATTATTTTTAATTACACATTTTATCCTCTTAAGCACACATACACACACACTCACTGACCATTACACAAACCCTTTGGCACATAGACAGAGGATCCTATTGATACACATAAACTTACATACACTCACTCATTGGCACACACACTGTTTAATCAGTTCACAGTTTCACTCACAGACACTTATTCTCACTGACAGATACACACTGACACACACACTGACATGCATACACTCTTATTGATGCTGATACACACACACACACATACGCATTCTCTCACACTCACGATTTATTTTTTTTATAGCATTTTGTTTTGGGTTGTTTGAGCCCATCGGAACTCTGTACCTTTCGGAGAGCTGGTGTGGATCTTCTCCCTGGTGCCGTGGGGCTGCTCTGATTTTGATGCGAGTCGCAAAAGTGCTATGAATTTGTTTCAAGCACAGGCACTGCAAAGTCTAGTAACCTTTTTTTTTTTTTGCTTCCTCCCCGATAATTTTTAATGATTTATACTATGCATTATATTACAGTATATGTTAAATAAACCATCAATGGACATCTTGCTATAACGCCCACTAAACACAGACAGCATTTAAACACATATATCCCAGTGCAGCCCTATAGGAAAGTTTTCTCCCTTAAAGAACACTCCAAACCACTAAAGCATGTCAACAAGTGCTTTAGGGGTTAATAGGAGTGTTCCTCTTTCTAACTTTATAAAAGTTCTGACACTCTTCCAGCTGTCTGGTTGCAGAAGGCAATATCTGCCACGCATGCGCCCTGCCTCCCCGTTGCTCCAAAAAATAAAAGAACACTCCACATCAAAACAAACAAAAAAAGAAATCTTTATTTAGTAGATATGCCAGCAATTAAATTAAGCCTGCATTTATTATGCATTTATATGCATGTTGGCATTGGGCGTATAGCTAAAATCAGATTGTGCTGGGGAAATGACTGCCATTGATTCTCAGCCATGAGTGCTTACTCTTCCGAGCAGGAGCCAAGGGAGCATACGAGGACACCAGGGAAGCCGTGGTATTGAACCATGTGGATGCACACGCCACTATAACTTGGGGGAAGGCACTGACAGGTGCTCTGTGTTAGATTGATGTTTCCTTATTTATTTATAGAAAGGATCAAAGCAATATGCACGTTTATATAGTGCCATTATAATGGGATACTCCCTACCCTTAAGGCACTGCAGAAAGCTAAAGTGCATTATGGGTGTGGATTTGTCCTTTAAACTAAAAAACAAGCCTTGCCAATTGCAGCAAGACCTGTCGGCTGTGAAACTCCAGGCAAGAGACTCCTCACTCTGCCCTTGGCATCTTAGAGCTGTGGCACCATTCCACAATGATCGGATGGCAACCACAATGAAAACTTGTTGGTGATAGTGGTAGCTTGGTACGTGCTGCAGTTGTGACTGGTTCTGTCTGTTGTTGGATATCTCCATTATGAAATATCCAGGAATAGGTGTAGAGAGTGCTGTGACAAGCTGTCACTGTGTCACATTGTTTGGATGCCTGTTAGCTGCTGCAGGGTTGACAAGCAGGCTCTGTGCCTGGTGTGTACCAATCCATGCATACTGGGCTACTGATGCCCCAGGAATCCTCCTGGAATGGTTCCCTAGCCGACTGATCACACTGAGAACCAATAACCGCAACAAAACAGCTTAGCTTTAAGGCATGATGTGATTGGATCTCATCTGCAAAATCTCGCGGCCAATACTCTATCCTAATCCTCCTTGATCTTTCTGCCGCCTTTGACACTGTTGATCATCAACAGCTTCTTCACATTCTCCGTAACTTTGGTCAGGATTCTGCTCTCTCCTGGTGCTCCTTCAGTGTTTCTTTCTCTGGCTCTGCCTCTTCTCCCCAACCCCTCCCTGTCGGTGTCCCCCAGGGTTCTGTCCTCGGCCCCCTACTGTTCTCTATCTATACTGCCTCCCTTGGTAAACTCATCAGCTCTTTTGGCGTCCAATACCATTTATATGCAGATGACACGCAAATCTACCTGTCCTCCCCTGATCTCTCTCCGCCCACCTTGACTCGTGTTTCTGACTGCCTCTCTGCTATTTCCAACTGGATGGCTGCTCACTTCCTTAAACTCAACCTGTCCAAAACAGAACTTCTAGTTTTTCCTCCCTCAAGTGCTGCTACTCCTGTGTCTGTCGCCATCCAAGTCAACGGCGCTACTATCACCTCTACCTCCCAGGCTCGCTGCCTAGGGGTTCTTTTTGATTCTGATCTCTCTTTTACTCCCCATGTTCAATCGATAGCCAAATCCTGTCGCTTCCAACTCAAGAACATAGCGCGCATCCGCCCATATCTAACGCCGGACGCGGCTAAGGTACTGGTTCATGCTGTTGTTCTCTCTCGCCTTGACTATTGCAATCCCCTTCTCACCGGTCTTACATGTTCCCAGCTTGCATCGCTGCAATCTATAATGAATACGGCTGCGAGGCTTATTTTCCTGTCCGGTCGCACCTCCCACGCCTCCACGCTCTGTCAGTCCCTGCACTGGCTTCCAGTTAGATATAGGGCCCAATTCAAAATTCTGGCGCTTGCTTACAAATCCCTACATAATGCTGCTCCAACATACCTATCCTCCCTCATACACAAGTATGTCCCGTCGAGACCCCTGCGCTCAGCCCAAGACCTACTCCTATCCTCTGCCCGGATCCCCACCTCTGATGCTCGCCTTCAAGACTTCTCCAGGGCTGCACCTATTCTGTGGAACTCCCTTCCCTCCTCAATCAGACTTTCACCCAGCCTCCATTCCTTCAAAAAATCTTTGAAAACTCACTTCTTCATTAAAGCGTATCAATTAAACTGTCAGCAGGTTTCTCATCCCCCACCCCATGACTCCGTTCCTTCACCTGTCAAAAATGACCTACCAAGCACTCAATAAACCCTTCTGTAACAAACTATTTAATTCCCCTACTTTAACCCTTTGTGTCACTATACCCCACTCCCTCTAGCATGTAAGCTCATCGAGCAGGGCCCTCAACCCCCTCTGTTCCTGTACGTCAGTGGTCTGATCTCAATTATGTGTCTGTTAGTCCACCCAATTGTACAGCGCTATGGAATTTGTTGGCGCTATATAAATAATAAAATAATAATAATAATAATAATCGTGATATAACCTGGGGGTTAGTCTTACAGGGCTATTTACTAATCTGAGAACTACTGGCAATTCAAAGTGACTTTCAAATATAAGGCCAAAGTAATGCAACTGGAGAGATTTCCCAGGTCAGCTATACTTCGATTTGGGCTGATTTAAAATGTAAAATTTACTTTGAATTCACCTTAAATCCCCGACAATTCTCTCTTTAGCAGATAACCTTGTCTGGGTTAGTATTAGCTTTAAGGTTAATGCTAACCCTGGGGTTAGTGAGGCTTATCTAAGGGAGATCTTCTAATCAGTGAACGGTTATAGTTAGGGCTAGGTTTAGTCAGTCTTAGCTAGTTAGTTAGTTAGAATTAGGGTTATGTTTAGTGAGAGCTATCTATTAGTAATGGCCGATCTACTAAACTGTGCCCGTGTAATTCTAGTTAGGGTTACGGACACCTACAATAAGATAGGGGTTGGTTAGATAGGTTAGATAGGGCTCAAGCAGTAGGTTCCCAAACCAGTCCAGGATTTAGGAATTACCCAGTTGTGTCTAAAGTCTTTCTAGAAGAAAGAAAACAAATTTAGACACAACTGGGTAATCCCTAAATCCTGGACTGGTAGGGGTGCGTGAGGACTGGTTTGGGAAACACTGGGATAGAAGCAGTGGAAAAGTTTGACACTGGTGAGTATGGTGACACAAATAGTGTCAGTATGCCAAATAGCGTCTCTGAATGGAGCGCAATGAAGCATGTCAAAATTAGGGGACATCTCTAATGTGACCTTATAAGGTACCCCAAACCCTGGCAAAGGTATATTTGTAGGATATTGCTTTACCCAGGATCAAAATACCAATCTGGGGTATTTGAACTAGTATAACATACAATGAGTGTGAAATTCACCATTAAAATTCAATATGAAGACAAACAAAATGCAATGCAAAATTTGCCAGAAACGTGTGATGAAAAAAATGGCTTAGTGAAAAGACTCAGAATGTCCCATATTGAGTAGTCAAAGTTGGCTTCTTTTAAAAGTGGAATGCCATGATTGGAGTGAAGTGATGGTGGGGGCTACTATTTTATCCCAAATGATCTCTATAAACCAACTAGAGAACATTTGAAATTTAAAAACTGAAATTACCATGACCCTACATCAAATTACGGTCTATAAGAGGCACATGGCTGTGCTCAGGTCTACATGGGGCCTACGTGGCGTCTACATAGAGTAGCTGAATACAAATCTGAAGTCTTTACAGTAGTGCAAAACAAAGGGTTTGTGAAATTAACCCAAAAAATGAAACATAAAAAAAAGAAATTCAATATATATATATATATATATATATATAAAGATAATAGCTTGGCACAAAAAAAAAAAGGAAAAACAGTGTATTGCTTGCCTGGGTGCAAATCTTAGGCGTCAATTATATAGAAATAAAAAAATCAAGATGCACTCACAGGTCTGCAAATATAAGAAAAAATTGTGCTTTATTAATCCATGTGTGGTATACAACAAATTTTTGTTGTATACCACACATGGATTAATAAAGCACCATTTTTTCTTATATTTGAAGACCTGTGAGTGCATCTTGATTTTTTTATTTATATATATATATATATATATATATATATATATATATATATATATATATATATATATATATATATATATATATATATATATAACTAGCAGTGTTGCTTGGGTTGATGTTGAAATGGTTAAATTAAAACTTTGAAAATGCATTATATAAAACACAGTGATAGGTCTTCTTTCTACAAATATATATATATTTCTGTAGCAATTTTGGATTCTGCAAATGCTATTCAACTTATAGATATAGAATGTCAAATTTGGCAAAGGCTTAGTTTTAAAACAATAATTCTCTCCTTTTCAATAATTCACTATTTGTCCTATAGCTCCAAAAAAACGAATTGAAACCCCAAACACAATGTGACTAATAAGTGAATCTGTTTTGACGTTTTTGTTGCCCTTGTTGTATAGACATTTTATGAGCAAAACTGTGATCAAATGTCTTTAAATATTTACCCTCCCTGCCTATTTTTAATAGCTTTTCATACATTGTTTGTGGGAAGCATGCATTTGGGAATCATATAAAAACCTTATCTATCCTCAAAAAACAAAAAAAACAAAAAAACAACTGAAACAACAATAAATAGTATGTAATGGTGTACTTAAAAAGAAAGTGTTAAATTACAGGGGACCAAACACATAACAAATATAAAGTGCCAAAAAGACCTCAGTCATGATGGTTTGGATAATGTAATTCTAGCATTTATTAAAAATAAAACTGTTAGAGATTTCGCTTATGGATACATTTGGAAATTATAACTTTTTAAGTTAAAAAACACAACGCAAGATCGCATATGCCATTTTGGGTCACGCTTAGTCATAGGTGAGTAAGCAGATTGTTGACCTGATTTAAACTCTTACGAACTTATGATTATGACAATTACTGTGTATCATCACATACCAGATGTAATTATTAAGGGATAAGAAAACCCGCACACATCAAAAACTACAAGAATGTATGTACCAAAGATAGGCCACAGCACGCAAACACAATTCTCCATAACCAACAAAATTATTTAACTCTTAAACTGTAGTTGCATTATCTATACAGAAAAATCACTTCATTACGCCAATGTTGTTTTTGTCTTTAGCGCGTCACTTTTATGTGAATTATGCCATTTCTACTAAACGGTGCCTGAGAGTTATTGGATTGAAATCGCACATAAAAACACAAGCGACCACTCACAGACACACATGTACTTACAATAACACTCGGGGACTTTACATATTTATCATCCCCAGTGACTAGTGATGTCCCGAACTGTTCACCGAACGGTTCGCGAACGGTTCGCCACGAATGGTTCGCCACGAATGGTTCGCCACGGACTCATCATTGAGTAAACTTTGACCCTGTACCTCACAGTCAGCAGACACATTCCAGCCAATCAGCAGCAGACCCTCCCTCCCAGACCCTCCCACCTACTGGACAGCATCCATTGTGAAGCTGCATTCTTAATGAGCTGTCCAGGAGGTGGGAGGGTCTGGGAGGGAGGGTCTGCGGCTGATTGGCTGGAATGTGTCTGCTGACTGTGAGGTACAGGGTCAAAGTTTACTCAATGATGAGTCCGCGGCGAACCGTTCGTGGCAAACCGTTCGCGATCCGTTCGGCGAACCGTTCGGGACATCACTACCAGTGACCATTATAGTTAATATCCATATTTTTTTACAAAGCCCGATGGCATCCATGAATATATATGTTTTGCTATTTAAATTTGTGTTGTAGCTGTGGTGATCCACTGTTAAAAGTCTTATTGGATGGGTGGCTGCCATGCTTGGACTAGGAAGCAGGCACAATGTAAGGCTGTAATTTGCCCACTTGTCTAAACAAGCCGCCCACCTGTTAAATGCAATCCAGCATGGAATAAGTGGCAATCATATTTTAAAATAAATGATGCAGTGCGTGTCTTTGTGAATATGGCACTGTGTGTGGAGCACCCACTACACCCAGGTTAGCACACCTCTGCAGCCAACAATTAGTTAATAGGTGACAAGCTGCATAAACAATGTATGATGCAAATAGCAACCTAAAAAAAAAATATTATAATATCAACAGCCCTGCATGATGTATTTGACTTACAAAAGTTCACATTGGGTATCACTACATATTCTATGTACACAACAATAGGGAAATTAACTGATAATCTGTATTCTGACTGACCTGCATGCTGTAATTAGCATACAATAGGTTTCATCAGGAAATTCTACAACCTTAAAAAATAAACTATTAGCCCAGGGTTATTATGGGTGCCCTGCATAATGTTAGTAGTAAAAGATTAGATGTATCTGTAATGACACTCCTTTTGGGGCTATGATTTTTTTATTTTTTTATTAGATGCTCATTTGCTCAATTTAATCCCCCGTGTAATCTTTCATCCTTCGTTTACCATACTTCATGTAATATTTCATTCTTTATAGGCAATATATCATACTTTATTTGGCATTTATTACCTGCAGTGTTCAACAATTTACTGAGTTCCATTTCTCAAATGACACAGATGATCATGTATCCATAAAGTCATAAATAAGAGATAAGATAAAAATGTTGGTGTCTATTATGAGACAATAATTCTATTGAGGTGGTTTGGTGGCATTATAATAAACCACAATATAAAAATGTGAATGTTTTATACATGTCTCCAGGATCCCTCTTTGACATTATTCCCCCGTAATACACATTTTGCTGCAAAGCTGACTTTATCACAGTGCAAAAGGGACAACTGCTCTGGGACCCAAAATTTACAGGGGACCACAACTGCTGTCCTTTGAGCCTTGGAGTGGACTGACCAAGGAAGGGGCCCGGGAGAGGCCCTGTTATACCACTATGTTTGTGGCCTCTCTGTATAGTCCCTATCCCATCATTACAGCCCCTATCTTCCCATTACAGCCCCTATCCCCCCCATTACAGCCCCCTACCCCCCATTACAGCCCCATTCCCCAATTACAGCCCCTATCCTCCCAGCTCCTATTGCAACCCACTACAGCTCAACTATCCCCACATGATAGTCCCTATCCCACAACTACAACCCCTGTCTCCCCACTACAGTGCCTATTCTCCACTACAGACCCTACTCTTCACCACAGTCCTATTTATATTTTTTAATAGGTTTTTCTCCTAGTCTATAAATTTGCTAGTAAAACTGCTAGCACAATGTAAAGATAAAACGTTATGCTTAATCTAGTTTGTTTGGTGCATGACATGTGCCCTTTAATGTTTAGTATATAACGAATTATCAATATAGCGTACCTTGAGGAATTGAAGATTAGTGAAAAACTATGTCACCCAATCCAATTTTATTGGGTTAGGGACATAGTGGTCAGTTTGGTGCACCGAAACGCACTTCAGGCCGTTTTTACTCTCACTTATTTTAGAGCACTTCAAGCTCTTTGCACTCACCTCATGTTTAGTACCATTTTCTTTTGTTTTGGTTGTTGGTAGACTGGAGCAGAGGGCAGTTATCGAGTTGAGATGAGGTACTAGCATAGAACATCCATTAAGGTGTTTTCTAGAAGATTCAGGATTCTCCCCCCCCCCCAACTCCAATAGAGTACCCTCTTTACCCTCTACCTCCTTTGTTTGCACTTTCTATGATATAACGACTAGTCCACTAGCATATCCAGTCATTTTATTCTATCAGCAATTACAAGGCTATGTTTAGCCAATTAATATAGCTGTGTTGTGAATGTAATAGATCAAGGATAGGATTTGGTGTGTCTTATATACATAGTAGCTACTTCTGCTCCCCAGCAGTTTCAAATTGCATCCTATCGTTTCCTGTTTACTTAATAAAGTCTCTATTTTACTGGATATATTTTGCATTGCTGTGGGAATTTTGACTGCTGTTCTACCACCCCCTTTTAAATGAAAGTTATTATAGCTGTACATACTTTATTTTCCTTTTTCACATACCCCCGTGTTTAGGGTGTATTCACATTTTTGTATTTACCTTGATGAATTAGTGTAAACAGGGACAAAAAAAGATAGATTTGGGGAATAGAGACGGGGGTACATCAGTGTATCCCACACTGAGGATTACAATAATTTAGGGTTGCAGGTGTTTAGAGTTAGGGGGTGCATTAACCCTATCGTTCTCGGTCAGGATTTACCCCGTTGAGTATAATTAGAAATACAGTCCAAAGCAATTAGAAGGCAGATACCACCTAACGCTAAACACACCCCTATCTTAAGTTTACTTTGGTGGTGTGCTTTCTCAACAGCATTTAATTTTGTGGCAAATTAATTACACTGTGGCCACACAAATGCAGCTTCATTACAAGGTCACCTTATTTAACATGGCCGTTTCATAACCTTTTTTTTTTTTAAATAAATATTTATATTGTCTGGTTAGAACTATGGGTTGTAACCTCACTTGCCTTAGAACTGGGGAACTCAGGCTTTGAATACCAGTCAGACCACCTTACCAGTAAGTGTCCCACTGGAAAGACATCTAAGGAGCTATAGATTTTAAGCTTGTTTCTCTAATTGTACAGCGCTGAGGAATATGTTGGTGCTGTAGAAATGCTACTAATATACATTTTTTTGAGATGTGTACAACATTCATATAATGTATCCATTGCCTGTCCAATTAACATATGGAAATGGCACATATGAATTTAGCTGGTGTGAATTATTGGCATATTAGAATCTCTCACAGTGGATATGGTATGTAAAAACATGGCTGCACTGCTGTTACTTGGTATTTTTTATGATTTAAAAAAAAAAAGAGAGAAAGAGAAAAGAAACTAAAACAACCAGCTTCCTCTTCTCTGCCTGTGTTGGCCCTGACACGTTGGAAAATGTTACACTAACAGGAGGAGGAGGAGCTGAATGCTTAGCTAAGGAGTGAAGGTGCATTGTATAGCCTGAGCTGCATAACTTCCTCTGGGAAAAACCCAGCTATAAATGAACACAGGAGGGAGGTGCTACCCAGCACTGTACAAAGCCGCATGAATCTGTGAGAGCCGGCAGTACTGTCTGGAACTCTGAGCAGAGCACACTGTCATTATATTCCTATTCTGTAACAGTGCAAATAGAAGTGCAATCATTGCTATAGAACTCACAGCAGACACCAGGAGACCAACCATGAAGCCTGGGAGGAATTCTTGGAAAAAGCTTTCAACTACAGGTAATACAATACATTACATATTATTTGTATCTTCTATTACCTGCTCATTCACCAAACTCTTTAACTATCTCAGAGGGTTCCTGGATGTGTTTTATAAACCTCACTAGCTTTGATCACAGATTGTCTTAGAAATCATAGAACATTCTGAGCTAAGTAACAAAGTAACATCGCCCAACCATAAATGCAACAACCCTTTATGGACATTTATTTACAAGCCAGTTTCTAAGCAACCTGTACCTTCAGATTAATATTAAACTACAACTTGTCCTTTGGACCTGAGCTAGGCTGACACCGAATCTCTAAATACTACAATGGGTGTATACATTGCTGTAATGGATGTGATTTTTACTTAGAATACAGTCATATGATTTGGAATTAATCTTCCCCTACCAATGCATTATGGGAGTTGCTCTTCACCTCTGCCTGGATTCCATCAGGTGTCTTAAACATTCTTTACATTTATTGGGGAACCTCTGAGAAAAAAATACCTTTGACTTGTATTAAACGTTAAGATATGATTATTTGCGGAGTTGTAATACCCAAGTCTATAATGGATAAATGGTCTGCATGCCAAGATAACTACCTGGTATTATTATTATTATGATCACCATTTATATAGCGACAACAGATTCCGTAGCGCTTTACAACATTATGAGAGGGGGGATTTAACTATAAATAGGACAATTACAAGAAAACTTGCAGGAATGATAGGTCGAACAGGACCTGCTCAAACAAGCTTACAGTCTATAGGAGGTGGTTAGCACTGTATCTATTTCTTAAATAAAATATAAATATATAAATAGAAATCCAGGTCAAGTATTAATTGGGTTAAATAAGGGCAGTGACGTCACTTGTTTTTCTCCCTGTGACCTTTTTGAATCTTCATTAACAAAAGACATGGGCATTAGTCATCCTCTCACTGTATAGATGACAAGCTATAGCAAGTCTCATTGTTATTGTGTCATTATTATTTATACAAGTAAATATATACGCTAACATCATAACTAACTAAGCTGTGCCTCCAAACAGATTTTTTAATATTTTCTAAAAAAATATATATTTTTTGTTAATTTCTGTATTTAGAAATGTATTCTGTACTCCTTTATTATATAGTATGTTACACTATATTTACAGGAGAATGATGGGAGTTGTAGTTCTATTTTACCTGGTGATTTACTGTTTGACCTCCCTAATTACTTATATACAGCATTATTCATTGACGGAGTAGATTTTATGTAACAGTGACATTTTAAAGTGAAACCTATCTATTTAAATCCTATTTTTCATTCTTACATTTTTTTTTCTTTAAATTGTATTCTATTTATTTTACTAATGTGATAATTTTCAGGTTTTCAAAATGAATTTCAAATTTAAGGCCCAACTTAAAAATTCTACAATTCAGCTATGTGTTCAGTTTTGGCTACTTTGAACTTAATTGTTCTTGCATTTTATTATTATTTTGAAACTGTATTAATGTAACTTTTTAACATTATTTTCCAGATAAAGAGAACATCAATGAAGTTGCAAAGCAAGTCCGGCAAATTGGGGATTATTTCAATATGAAGCAAAAAATTCTCAATGTTGTGACGAAGATTCTTACACCAGGGACATGATAACTAAAATGACAAAATGCAAAGTTAATCAACAAAAAAGTATGGAAAAAAAAATCCAGTCTACTAGACTGAAAATACCCATTTAAACCTGTAAAAAGGTGTACGAAAATGAGAAACTGCATTGGCGGTCTATTGTTCGGAATGCAGAAGACAAAGAAGAACATTTGTAAAAATGCTTATAAGGATGTCTATGTGTCAGCAGTGCAATGGCGCAGAAGGTGGTGTATAATACAGTTTGCTAAACTCAGATGGAACTCAGCAAAGCAACGTGACTTTGTAAGGATTTCACTTACCATGGATCAACGCGATAGGTTGGATTATAATATGACTGACATTACAGCTGTGAAATGACTGTTCCCTGTAGCTCTACAAGAAGTGGTCCATCTAATTTACTATTAAGAATTGATATAGGATGATGCAATGCTCTTTCAAATATGTCTAGAAGAAATTGTTAAATAAAATTTAGTTATTCTCATATAAAACTATGTAGCTTTTACAAAAAAATATTAAAGGTCTTTCAATGCCGATAAATAACTTGTGTTACATTTGTCTTGGAATGTGTTTAAAACCAGGTGTGGGTAAATGTGGACTTTAGGCAGTTGTAGAATCACTTCCTTATTGTAGATGAAGGTTTTACCAAACTTTCGGTTGTATTTGTAGTGTGATTTCAGCATATGTTTGTCGACTGTGTGACTGTTTGTAACATTTGTTTGCAGTGGGTATTTTCATATATTTATTTTTATAAGTTTTCCAGTGTGCCCTGTGATACAATTGCAATTATATGCAATTGCAACAACACACTCTGCAGTGCTGTATAATAGGTAAGCAAGACAAACATTAAATTCTAATAAAACGTATATGACATGCGGGAACAATAGGTGATGAGGGACCAGCCCAAACAAGCTTACAATTTGAGATAAGTCATGCCTCCATGCCCCTTGTAATGGCATATATCTGCATATTCTTTAAATTGAGTGGGCTGTTTATTTTATAAATGGGGACTGAGCTTAATTAACCACTGGTGAACTGAAGGTTTGGCTAATCATTTATACAATGTCAAGTCTGACATACCATTGGTCATTAAAGGCTTACTCCAAGCACCATGATCACTTAAGTGTTTTGAAGAAGTCATTGTGCAAGGACCTTGTATATGCAGCTTTTTAGTATTAGCTAGTCCAGAACTCTTGTTCTGAGTTATTTACTTATATATAATCTACCGATTAAGGAACAGCACACACATAAAAATGCAATTTTACATTTTATAAGACTTCTTAAAATCACCTATCTCAGCAAAGAAATATGGGGATATTTTATTCATTTGTTGCAAGTGCATAGTGAATATATATATAATGCAAAATTAATGTGATAAATGCAATTAAAAAAAATACAGTGTCAAAACTAAACATAGAAACATAGAATGTAACGGCAGATAAGAACCATTCGGCCCTCCTAGTCTGCCCAATTTTCTAAATACTTTCATTAGTCCCTAGCCTTATCTTATAGTTAGGATAGCCTTATGCCTATCCCAACATGCTTAAACTCCTTTACTGTGTTAACGTCTACCACTTCAGCTGGAAGGCTATTCCACGCATCCACTACCCTCTCAATAAAGTAATACTTCCTGATAGTTTTTTCAAACATTTGCCCCTCTAATTTAAAATTTATGTCCTCTTGTTGTGGTAGTTTTTCTTCTTTTAAATATAGTCTCCTCCTTTACTGTGTAGATTCCCTTTATATATTTAAATGTTTCTATCATATCCCCCCTGTCTCGTCTTTCCTCCAAGCTATACATGTTAAGATCCTTTAACCTTTCCTGGTAAGCTTTATCCCGCAATCCATGAACCAGTTTAGTAGCCCTTCTCTGAACTCTCTCAATATCCTTCTGAAGATACGGTCTCCAGTACTGCATACAATACTCCAAGTGAGGTTTCACCAGTGTTCTGTACAATGGCATGAGCACTTCCCTCTTTCTACTGCTAATACCTCTCCCTATACAACCAAGCATTCTGCTAGCATTTCCTGCTGCTCTATTATGTTGTCTGCTTATCTTTAAGTCATCTGAATTAATTACTCCTAAATCCCTTTCCTCAGATGTTAAGATTAGTAGGGTATCAAATATTCTATACTCTGCCCTTGAGTTTTACATTCTCAGTTGCCATTATTTCCACAAGTTCATAGATCTTTTTCCCTAAACTGCGAGCATTTGTAGACCTGACTCTAAGCTTATAATTTTTTAACACTCTCGCTAGAGCCAGCATGTCAAACTTGCGGCCCACAATGAATATATTTGCGGCCCACCTGCCCTGGGGCCACTTTGTGCTATGGCTGCGACCAGTTGCAAGACAGGAAATATATTTCCTGTCTGATTCTTGTCTTCCCTCCCATAGCCAACTGAGTGCTCCTGCGGCCACAAGAGCGCAGAGTGTCTGTCTGCAGAGCAGGCAAGCCACCCCCCTTTCCCTCCTGCTCACAGTGCCAAATGAGCGTCTGGCCTGCTTGAGCAGACAAGAGCAGGGCTGGAACTGGAGGACGGGTGGCTCATCTTAATGTAGGAGAAGAGGGGCTTGAAGGACCTTCCTGTGTAGTTTGTTAAAATGGGGAGGAGGGGCAGTGTATTAATTTAAGAGAAGGAGGGGGCAGTGCATTCAATTTGGGGAGGGAGTGAGCAGTGTATTCATTTGAGGAAGTAGGTAGTGTCTTAATTTGGGGGAGTTAGTGGGGCAGTGTATTAGAGTGGTGGGAGGGGTGGAGCAGTGTGTTAAATTGGAGGGAGGGCAGTGTATTAATTTGGGGGAGGGAGAGGGGCAGTGTATTAGAGTGGTGGGAGGAAGGCAGTGTGTTAAATTGGGGAAGGGAGGAGTCACAGTATTAAATTGGGGGAGGGAAGGCAGTTTATTAAATTAGAGTGGTAGGAGTGGGGGCAGTGTATTCAGTTAGAGTGAAGGGAAGGGGGCAGTGTATTAGATTAAGGGGCAGTGTATTAGAGTGGATGGAGGGGTGCAGTATATTGGATTTGTGGGCAATGTTTTGGATTTGTGAGCAGTGTACTAGAATGGGGGGGGGAGGCAATGTGTTATATTGGGTCTTCATGGAGGCACTGAACGCTCCACATGAAGATGCTAACTGGCCACGAAGCGTCTTGACACACATGCACAATACCTCTGAATGCTTTCCTGTGGGAAAGCATTGGATTGGCTGAGATCATCAAGTTTGATGATCTCAGCCAAAGTGAAGAACACACTCATAGGACAAGATAACATCATTTGTTTTTTACAGCTGTGCAACAGCATACATTCACCATTTCAGTCCCATTAACAAACATTTCTTAATATGTCAAGGTATTTGGACTGAAACATTGGTTATATGCAAATGCACATCTCCTTAAAATAATTTCGCTCTTTTGTTTACTTTGAAGCCTTACAAGCGTGAGGACTTCCAGTATCAGTTAGGCAACTTTGTTCATACTGTACTTTCCTAAATAAACCTACGTTTCTATGAAAACTGAAGTTTTTGTTTTTTTGCGGCCCACATAAACTTAAAACTTGTTTATTTAGCCTTTTGTAGCCTTTGAGTTTGACCTGCATGCTCTTAGAAGTTAAAGCAATGATCCACTGTAGAAATAAATGGACATTTTTAAGGCATGTTGTTAGCAGCATCTTACTTTATTTAGTGAAACAAATGATAACCCCACACAGTTTGCTTTTAACAACTAATTATTACTTTGGGGGGGGTGGGACAAATTTCTTTGCAAGCTTTCCATTTCATTCTGGCCATTTGAATCTTCAGAAATAGACTGAAGAGGCACGCACACTCACTCAGTGGCTTATTTATGAATTTTTTTTTTTTTTTATGTCTATGTGCTACCATGTACAGTTTACTATTCATGCCTGAAATATTATTATTATTATTATTATTATTATTATTATTATTGACATTTATATAATGCCAGCTGTTTCCGCAATGCTTTACAATATTATAAAAATTGGGAAATTAAACAATAAAGGAGACGATTACAAAATGTTACAGAAACAAAAGGTTGATAATACATATCAATTCATTAAACACAAATAAATATTAACAAAATAGAATAAACTGCAATTAAAGGTGTTGGTTGGTGGATATATATATATATATATGTATGTTAAGATGTGTCTTTTATTTAAATTAGTTGTCTTTTATAAAACAGATATTATTTGTTTTTAATTTGACACAAATTAGCTAATACATGTTTACTACCAGGCACACTCTCTCTGCACACTGTGCAGGGCACTTGTATGGCAGAAGTGGGCAGCTGATATGCCATGTGCAGGCACTGAAGTCTGAAGAACTGAGCACCAGAGACAGGGTGTACCAAACAGGTGGTGAGGGCCTGTACAGGCATCGGTCTCAGCTCTGTAAGTCACAGGAGCTAATACAGGTTGTACCAGAATGTCAGAAGCTGAAGGGATTACAGGGAGGTGATGATTGTGTGCTTAGTTAGCCCCTCGAGGTCAATAATGCTATGCAGGCTACATGATATGCATTAGTATACCTTTTTTTTCATAATTCTTTTTTTTTGTAGTGCATAGGGTATCAAACAAGCTCATGTAGACATTTCATGAAAATATTCAAACAGACAATATATATTATTAAGATGCAAACAAACAATGGGTGTGTACACAAACTACAGTGCAAAAAAAGTGATCAGCTAGTAATAAGCAGAAAAAAAACCTCCCTGGCTGGGTGGAATTTCCCAAAGACTTCCTCTTGTCTTCAACAGTATAAACACAAAATAGGGAGAAAATCTGCTAAACCAAATAACAAGAACCATACATAGCGTAATACTGTATTTTTAAGTAAACCAAATGTAAAATTCACAAGTGGCCACTCATACTCTTGTAGTGATTAGAAGACTTTTAAAAGGATTTTTCCTTTTTCAGCATATATGCCTTTTTGAATTGGAATCTTCTATCTCCATAATTGAAAGGTGTGTGTGCTCAAGAGAGATATATAACAAAATTGTAGTGCACATTCAGAAATAGAATAAAAAAGTATTTAATAACTTACATCAAGGTATAAAACAATTCTCACTGTCACCACTATTAATATATATTATTGTAGGCTTCACATGGAATGTCAGAGAAAGCCTGCACTTTTTTTTAGAAGTAAGTAGAAAACAAGAAAAACAACCAGAGCACTGTTCTAGGAGGTGAAAGAACTAGTGGATAAGATGAGTTATTGAACAGGGCTGAGAAGAGTAGTGACAAGAAATTACCTCTGGGTAGGTAGGGCAGCCTTGTGTAAATGCATACTGCGCTAATGACAGGTCAAAAAAAAAAATCGGAATTATTGCATGCAGTAATCAACAGGCAGACTATACTAGGTCCACTGGGCTACAGGGTATGTGTGCTGGGCCCTCGGCCAATACCGAGAGATACTGAGGCGAGAATGACACTATTCTCAGGAGCTTCCAAGAGGCTCCTCCGATCGAACCAGGGTGTCAGGCAGTCCAGTTTGCTTCCATCTAGGTGAGCACCTGAAGCTCGATGTTGCAG